CTCTGTCCACCCCTCTGGAAAGCTCGCGTTGACTGTGGGTCGCGATGATTGCTTGGCTATGATCAATTTGGTTCGGGGAAGGAGGAGTTTCTATTGCAGGTTGGGGAGAGAGGCTAGTTTGGTGAAGTTTGATGTGGGCGGGGATAAGTTTTTCATGGTCATGGAGGACAAGGTATCGGTGCATGAGGCAGAGGATGCGCGGCTGCTGTGCGAGTTCGAGAACAAGAAGCGGGTTCTTTGTGCCACGCCTTGCGAGGTCAGTCTAATAGGTGTTTTGCTTTGAATTCGTATTTGCCATTTGTTGCCAGACGTGATTTTCCTGTATGGGCTGGTCTCAGGTTTATAAATAACATTGAAAATAGATACAACATAGATTATTTATCCTCAAATTGTAAGCTTGAATTTGTAGCACATTTCTTAAGGAGCTGGTTCCTTTGAACTCCGAAAAGTTTCGAAGTTTCTGTGCATGTTGAACGTTATAGTATCCTATTTTAAGGAATTCAGTATATTCGTTTGCAGTTGCACTAATCTTGAATTAATGGTGTTTAGAGATTAATCGTTCAGGAAATAAGAAGTTTATAGGCGGTCAAAAGGAACCGATTCAGAGATCATGTAACCTTTTTTTAGTTCTCATGTTTATAGAAGGTTTATTTTCCTTGTGTTCAATTGTTATTGGAACTTGTACAGAACGGAATTCTGCTTACCGGTGGAGAGGACCGCTGTCTTACGGCATGGGATGTAAAAAGTGGGAAGGTGGCATATTCTATAGAAGAAGCACATGCTGCCCGTGTCAAAGGGATTGTTGTTCTCACAAAGAATTCCTCTGGTGCTTTCTCTGATGATGATCCACATGTAGTTGCTTCTGCATCGACTGATGGAGTTATACGCATTTGGGATGTTCGCATGGCAATTAAGGACAAGCCAAATCCATTAGCTGAGGCAAATACAAAATCAAGGCTAACTTGTCTTGCTGGATCGGCTCTTAAATGTAAGATTATTTTCTTTTCTCCTTGTGTTGCTTTACATACTCTTTTATACAACACATTATCATCATTTGCATAGCACGTTCACACTTTGGTATTCATGGTTACCTCTGTTATCTTCCTTTGATTGTTTTCTCGAAACAAAATATATGTGCTACTTTACTCGCACCTTAACTATCCTCAGGGGATAATCACAGCTTGATCATACAGCATTTTCCTTCAATTTTATATGATTCTTGTTGTCAAATACTAATACATGTCATGTGCTAGGATTTATGAGAATTCAACTGTCATGGGCTAGGATCAATGCCGCATTTCTAAAACAATAAGCTTGTTATCATTCCCATACTTACCAACTAAATGCAAGTAATTTTCATGTGGATGGGGGCTGTAAGAATTATCTGGCTTTATTCCGAGGATGAAAATCAAATAAACTGAACTTTGCTTGAAGAGAACACGGAAGATTCTTATCGCTTACGTCGGTTATTTTTTATTTCCCATCACTAGCTTAAACCTCAAACTAGTTTTAGACAGATTCTAAGAAATCATATTGCAGACATTTTATTTAATCTGTCTTTCCTGTCTTGATCAGCTCTTAGGCGACCACAGGTTGGGAAGAACACATCAGATGAAGGGCAGTGTGTACCGCCAAATGCCACTGACAACAATGAGATGGCTGAATAAGGAAACTAAATAACATACATTGAGTTGGCTGATTATTAGATGCTGCTGGTGGTTGGAGGGGGGCGCCTTATGCCGTGGAGAATTGTTCTTTATTTAGCTTCTCCCCTGTACACCTGCTGTATTTAAGTTTTGACATGAAAACAAGTGTTTATATTGATTCGCATAGGAAATATCATTAAATCTTTTCAGTATTCATATTGAGGCAACGGCAAACAAAGTGGTGCTCTGTACCTGTATTGTGTTTGAAATGGTTAGTAATAGACGGAATTTTGATATGAATAACTTCCATTTTTATGAACATTTGTAGTTAAAGCATTCTCATATGATTTTGTCATCGGTAAAATCCCAAGGATTTTCAAATACCTTTGATTTCTAGTCTCTTTTAGAGCTAAAAGGAATCACAATTCTTTTTCTTTTCTATGCTAACATTGTCACCTCATTTTTAGTAATTATGTTATTACAACAATCTTATATGAGGATTTTTACTCCATACGCCTCTTCATTCAAATTTTTTTTTTAAATCATTCGCTAATTTTTCTCGTTTGAGAATAAAATATATTTTTTTCCATACTCAAAAGTCAGGTATCTTTTTCTTCAAATTTGTATTCCTATAGAAAAGAAAAAACAAGAGAGTACTTACAAGTGTTTTGTGATTAAAGTATTTTTAATTCACGTGGTTGATTGCGAATTACTTAAAAAAAACTTTTAATAATGTAAAATTAAACATCAAGGTGATTTTAGATTAATTTTTTTAACTAAAATGCACGTAATTAAAATATTTTTGCTATGTTAGGGAGATGCGAACCCTTACCATTCGAACTCAAGCTTTTTTTTTCTTTTTTTTACTTTTAGTTTTGTATATGATATATAATAAATTCTGTCAGTTTAAAAAATATCTATTATTTCTTGCCTACAAAATTAAAAATTAAAAATTAGATACAATATTAAAAAATAAAAAATTAATTACACACTTTTTAAAATGGAGGAACTAAATTCTCATAGTATGACGGGAAAATATTAAGTACTATGATAGCTTTCATTCATGATTTGTCTCAAGAATGAAATCTTATTGGAACTGTCCATATCCAGTTCATCCTTCGGCTATAGTCATAGTGATCCTCCTATTCAACTAACTTCAACCATTTTCGAACACCTCATAGCATTTTCAGGGCCTTCGAGAGGAATTCGGTTTTTCTTTTCAGCAAGCGACATGTCAGATCCGGGTCAAGCTCCTTGATGAAATCGAATAAAAGAGAAGAATCATTCATTCATTCCCGGTGAGAATGTTGTCGTCAACGTATAAAAGAAGGATGAGGCAACGACCATGACGTCGACAAACAAAATGTCAGAATCCGTCAATAATATTTAAGAATCGCGAATGTATAAAATGAAATAATTAAATTATCTAACGAAGTGTTAAATAATTGTGAATGGAAGAATTACATTAAGACTAAAAATTTTATCTGGTATAAATCTAACTGTTTAATTTTCTTCCTTTAATTTTTATCTTTTAATTAACTAACAAATATGGCCTGTATTTATAATTGAGATAATTATTAATTCACGATGGGTAGCATAATATTACGGCAAACATTTTCCATGAAAATGAAATGGAGAGCGAGAGAATGGGAGCACAACATCCAACAAACCTGTGCGGACAGCGCTTTCTCTTCAACAGCTTCTCCGTAGCCATAGCCAAAGCCAAATATACAGTACTGAATCCACTTTCTCTTTGCCCTATCCAATCCGCCTCTTCCTCGCTTCTGTTGCCGCATCGCATCCATGGATTGAGTGCTCTGTAATCGGTATGCATCAATTATTCTACCTCCCCACATCTCCAGGTAACTCCGCCACATCTCGTCCGAATTTCAGTTCTCACGCTCATCACCTATGCTTGGATCCTTGTAGAATTATATGGAATTATCATGTGATGCATATTTGCGGTACCTTTTGTGAATTTCATTTCCTTGCTTCTTTTCATGTACTCCGGAATGATATAGTGATGGAAAATAGCAGTTAGGGGATATTTAATACCTGGTTTGTGTGCGCGCGTATTCGTTTTCATCGGATTGGTCGTATTCGAGATACTGAAGTATCAATTTGAATACATTTAGTTGACTTTTACGTTTATGTTCGAGTGAAGTCTTCGAATATACAGAAGTATATATTAATGGAAAGGAATACTACTTCAGTTCGTTTAGCGTTATAGTTTGTATTTTGTTTTGTTTTTTAATTTAAAAGCTCTCTGTCCTGTAGTTGGATTTCAAGGGGCAAATAAAACTGGAGGCAAATTCTCAACCGAATCAAGACACGGATTTACGAAGAATTACTTTTTTCCGACAAAATTGCATAATTTATGTATATTTCTGTACATACATACATACATACATACAGATATTTATATCTACTCAACTGTTTTTCTTTTTTTCGCAAACTCACATACTTATGGTTGTCTTGTCTTATTGTTATAATAAATAAATATTAAAATATATGTGTATGTATGTTCACTATCCCTGAGCAGTGAAGCAATATATCAAACATTTCAAGAGCTTGCTTTACCCATAATTTTAAAAATGGAAGACTTAAATTGAATTTGCAGTTGGTATGGCCTCAGATCTGATAGAAAATTCTGGTCCTGACTTCTGGTGCAATAGCTTTGAAACATTAGGAAAGTGAAAGCTTGGCAAGTGCAAGTTCCCAGGACTCCCCCCACCACATTTAAAACTGAGGAAACCATGGATTTGGTTGGAAGCAGCAGTTCAGTGGTCCCTGAAAGATCTGAATCAAGTCCAGCAGGAAATGTACAAGCAAGGAGGCATACAGGTAACATCTATGAATCAAACAATTGATACAAGTTGTGAAGTCTCAGTGCTTGGATAACTAAGTGGTCATGGATTGCAAAACCCTCAACAACTATTCACCTGGAATATTATATATCCAGCGAGTTTTTTGGCTTATTAACCTTTTAGGGTTTGGTTCCAGTCTCTAGTTTTGAACTTGGTAATCTACTGGTTTAGTTGACAATAACTTTATGCTGTTACTTTATGATCAATTGATTTACTGATTTGCAAATGCTGCATGTTGCTGGCGCTAGATAAATGTAGGATGAAGGCATCTCTTTTGTCATTTAATTACTGGGATGTCTTGCGTGTTCCCTTTGGTCACAGGTGAAGGGACCATTCTACCATTTTTGTCTGCTAACCTATAGATGTAAGTATTCTTTTTTTTTTTTTTTTGGCCAAAGGAAAGAGGAAGCAAGTTAAGACATTTGGGTGCTTATGAGATGTTTGATTAAATTTAAAATGGGTTTTAAAGATGAAGTGAAATGGGTAGAATTATAGAAAGATGTAGGACTAGAAATCAAGTAAAATATGCAAATGGGTATATGGGATAATAGTAATACAAGAATAAGGTGTACACAAAGAGACTGGGTCTTAAAGATTTAACTTCCATGTCAGATGATGGGAAGGAACTTGGAGTTTTAAGGGTATAACAACTGGTCAAGTAAGGAGGGCAGGCATCAGTTATGCTAAATGCCCACAGGAAAGGTGGTGGTTGGTACTTAGTACAATAAGATATGAAGCTTGACTTTATTGTATTGGGTCTCTTGGCTTTTTTGTTCTCTGTCTCGTGAAAATGCTTTTTTTCTTTTGGGTTTTTGGTGGAGTTTTTATAACATGTACAATACTTGATTCGTCTTTGATATCTTTGAGAAGTTCTAGGCATTCAACAAGACATTGGACGGCCCTGATTGGAATACCAATATAGTTTAATACTTATTTAACTAATGTTAGGAAATCATCATATTTGGTTTCTCTAATAGTTTAATACTTATTCTCTTTTAAGGAGAATATATCATTAAAATTATTGTTGGTAGTTAAGTTCTCTAGTTCATGAAATTCTTCCTCAAGCCAATTTTATTGCCTATTTGTTTGGGATTTTGGCTTAACTTTAATTATGTAATATTATCAATTTGGAAATTCTTCCGTGTATGCATCCTTAGAAACCATTATATTTTCTTTTCCCTCGTCATTTTTCTTCTTCTTTTCTTTCTGCAAGCATATCATCTGTTAATGTTATTTTTTTAACACTGTCTAATTGTTATATTGAATCCAGCCTATTACCATTTTACACAACAGAGCCTCCCAGCTTGTAAGCCCGTATTGACACCTGCTTTGGTGAGTCTTTGAATACTTCCTGACCCAACACATCTAAGTCCTTTATAATGCCTCTGTACATAATTATTATTATTATTTTTTTTTTTTATAACCGTAAGTCGGAGCTTTGCTCTCCTATTCCCAGGGGCACCCGTGCCCGCTCCAAGGCCCAGACCCAGGAGAGCTGTACATCATTATTGTTGACCTTATAATGTTGATTGTCTCTTCGCAGGTTATTTCTGTTTTTCTGTTAACGGGTATTCTTTTCATTCCAGTTGGGCTTGTTGTCCTTCAAGCTTCCCGTAGTGTAAGTGTACCTTATAGATGCTGAAACATTAATCTTAAACTACTTCTTTTTTATTTAATTAGATAAATTAATGATTAGTTGTGTAACTAATACATGTATGCACAGTAAAATGGAAGCTTACTTATAGTTAATTATCCTTGAATTTCAAGGGCAGAAGATTTCATCCTCTTCTGTGAATATCAAGGAGGAAGACATCCTTCTACACCCAAAGAGACACCATGGTATTTACTTGGATGCCTGCATGCATAAAAGTTCGATTTCCCTTGCAGAGAGACTAGAATGTTGCATATTTAGTGCAGATGGTTTAGTTCCCGAAGGGGCAAAGTATTAAAGTGCATGTCAATTTTACCTTCTGATGAACTTCTTCCTCTCATAAATTTGCTTGATGATATTACCTCTTTATTCCTATAAAACAATATTAATAACTGTCTAATGTTTCATATAGTTCTACTAACAACCACTTATTAAGTTGCTTATAAATTTATTTTAATGTTAATTTTTTTCACTGGCTTGTTTGTCTAATTACTTTATTTCTTTTATATATAAATACAACTAAACAATTTATGGGTATCAAAAGAAAAATTATGTGTTGTTTGATTAAATGAATTTAATATATAAAATATGTGCTGCGGTAATAGTTGAAAATGGTCGTGCAGGTTGTTGAAATTGTATACAGATATGATACTGAATGTGTGCCCGTGTCATTTAGAAATAATATGGTGGCATATATCAAAGATAGTTCAGCCTCCAAAAGTTGTTCCTTTTCCTTAGAGGTATGCTTAATTTTTTTTCTTAGCACTTATGTTCAGAATCTCCTATTAATATATTGTTCCATTGAATCTATTTTTTGTGTTTCAACTATAGATAAATTAAAACATACAGGCTAATTTGGGCAGTGGGTTAGTTTGATACTGAGGTGTTATTAGGGAAAAAATAACAGAATAAGTATGTAGAAAAGGAGCTTAAGTTTCTGTCTGAGTTCAGATAGGAAAGAACCATACTTCCTTTGGAATGAAAGATGAATTTTGATTCGGACTGAAAACTCTACTTCTGGTAATAAACAACAGTGCAGAGTTTGAGTCTCTTTTGTCCCTTTTTTCCCCTACTAATCTTATTTTAATACTTTTATAGATCAACAAGACTATGAAAGCTCCAATTTTTATCTACTATCAACTAGATAACTACTATCAGAACCACCGACGGTAATGGTCTTCTGTTCTGTTTTACGATGCTTGATTTTATATTAATTGATCTTTTTCTTTTTTTAATATTTCTTCATCTGTAACTTCTTTATCCTAAAATACCAATTACGTCAGAATGGTCATTAACAAGTGATATCGTCAATAGGGGTTCTTGATCATTAGAAAGCGCTGTGAATCAACTATAGGCACTTAAATTTCAAACTACTTCCAATATTAACCTTTTAATTTGTTAGAGGGATTTTTTTTTATAATAATTATTATTATTTTTAGAAGTTTTCATCTTTTGTAAATATGTTAGAAAGCTAATTTTCTCTTCTTTTCCTAATGCACTTTAGTCTTTATCAGCATGTTTTAAATTGTAGCTGGTATGAACTTGAGAACAATCTATTGTATGCCTTAATAGTTATTTCAAAGGGGTCTGAGTTGTTTATGAACTGAATTTCACCTTTGCAACTTGCAAGCACATAAACTTGTACTATACGGAAACTATTTTCAGTTATGTCAAAAGTAGAAGTGATAAGCAGCTCTTACATGGACTGGCATACAACGATACAAGTTCCTGCAAACCAGTACAGTCGCATAATGGTATTCCAATTGTCCCTTGTGGGTTGGTAGCATGGAGTTTGTTCAATGATACGTACAAGTTTGTCCTTGGGAGATCTGAATTGAAGGTGAACAGGAAGAACATTGCATGGAAAAGTGACCGCAAACACAAATTTGGAAAGCATGTATATCCTTTTAACTTCCAAAATGGAACCTTGATCGGTGGTGGAAACCTGGATCCAAATATTCCTGTAAGTACTACAAGTATACAGACAATAATCTAATGGTCCGTACATATTATTTCTATAAGGAGCATTTGAGCCTGAAATGTGCTTTTCTTTGTCTGCAAAAGTTTGGGTTTCGGGCTCACACTAAACTTGGAGGTCTGCCTTTATCTTTTCCATTTTTTTTTTGAACCGATGATATAAAAAGTACTAAAAAACAGTTGACATTGACTGCCTGAAAACACCAAGCCAAATTCAAATTTTCCAAAAGATAACCATAAATTTTGAGTATAGAAACTATGTAGGAGAAATATGCGACTTTAAGTTTCCTCATCGTTTCCAATTGAGCTACAAATTTTTGGAAGGAGCCAACTATCCGGGCTTCTTCTTTGGACTAACTTACTCCTCCCACCATTGAGCTCCTTAGTAAGAATATGGCCTTCTTTTTTGCAATTTCAAAGATCCAAATGTGCCTATAAAACTTCTGATCCATTACCTGTATTGTGTTAAATTAAAAATGAGAGAAAATAGCTGCATAAACAAATACCTGAAGTATCCAAAGTCCAGGCTACTTTGGGAATCTGTTGAGCCTCTAAATTTCCAAAAGGAGGAGATTTGACAACTCATCAATTTATGTGTCATATAAGAACTCATCAATTCTTTTTGCCAATTTTATGGTCATATAGACTTCATATTTTTTTTTTCACTGCACCAAAAGGGTGGTTTCTCGTCTGACTACAACCATCAATGAACTACTTGTGAGCATCGTATTTACTAGAGATCATCCTATGGACTCTCTGTCAAGGGGAAATTATCTCCATACCCATTTATTAACCAACGCTATACCCCTCTCTTTTAAATCACCTCCAATTCCCCCTTCCTGTTTTTGATTAGGTCCATGTGGCTTATATTTATATATGTAACATGTTAAAAACTTGTTGGTGGTATTTTAACTGGTATGTTAGCAGTGTATAAATGGTTTCTGAGCTTCACAGTTAAGCCCTACGTTTAAGGTCTGCATCTTACTTGGGTGGGAGAGTGTCACTCATGTGTGCCCTTAATCTAGCTTCACCTGCAGCTTCCTTAAGTATTCAAGAACGAAGCTTTAGTATGCTATTGACCCTACTTTTGGTACCGTACCCCGACTTTTTCAAGAGGTTGTGAGGCAAGGCTTTTTTTCTATAATTATGAATGCAGAATGAAGTCAGTAGGTTCGACCATTTGTAACCTGCTGATGAGAACTGTGAATTGAAGTGTGGCTAAGATATAAGCTTGTGTGTGAATCTTCGTATGTATTACTATTCTATTACTAATTGAATGAATAGACTCATTGGTGTTTCTCGATGTCTATATATTCGTGTGATTAAACTTCTGCCTGTGGATTAGTCAAGCTGGTGGTTAAATATTTACTAGTTTCGTTATTTTTTCTTTTCATTTGAAATAAACTGGTTGTGACAAATATTTTGGTTTTTCTTGCTTCCTTCTTTTTGGTTGCCGGCTCTTGTTTCATATATTAGTTGAGTGATCATGAAGATCTAATTGTCTGGATGCGCACTGCTGCTCTTCCAAGCTTCAGAAAGTTATATGGTAGACTTGAAGAAGATTTGCATGCTGATGATGTTCTAGAAGTCAAGCTAATGAACAACTACAACACTTACACCTTTGGTGGTAGAAAGAAGCTTGTCATTTCAACATCAAGCTGGATGGGGGGAAGAAATGATTTCCTCGGATTTGCCTACATTTTTGTGGGATCTTCTTCGCTATTGATTTCTTTATTCTTCACATTGCTTCACATGAAATCGAGGTAATATTTCAAAGTTGTGCCACAACTTATTTCCATAATGTTGCATCTACATCTTTGCCAACCTGCATTATAGCTAGTCGTTGGGCTCAATTATTACATTTTTCAGATTTAGGACATGTTTGAGAGTGATTTTTGCATAGTCAAAACCACTTTTGCCATTTATCTAAACTCACTTGTATATCATTGTCAAACATTACTATTTTAAATGGGAGTGATTTTGCAATGGCAGACCAAAATCACTCTCAGATGCCTTAATGTGACAATGATGTAGAAGCGATTTTCGAATATGACAAGAGTGATTTTGGTATCTAAATATGTCCTTACTGTATTCTAAAGTTGCTCCTTCGACAGGTCACTCTACTCTACTATCCTGCTTATGTTTGATGAGCCTCTTCTTTCTTGGTTTTTCTGGCAGGCCGTACGGGGAAACAAACTATTCTTCGTGGAATAAAATGGGCGGTTCGAGTTAAATGATATATTGCTGTGAGAAGCATCAAGGAACTAGAGCAGTTGGTTTCCACAGAATCCAGCACACTTTTTTCTCTTATTGGGGGTGTAAATTTTAAAGAACAGAATTATAATTTAGGAGTGACTTAGTATGTTATTTTACTTCTAACCCAGTACAGGGCGACCATTATGTTTGGAATTGGATTCAAATTACTAGGGTTGAATCTGGGAACCATTTTTCATTGTAAATGTGCTCTGATGTAGCCGTATATGGCCTTTGGGATAGCTTATTAAATCTTAAAAGTTTAGCTTTATAGTTGTATTTCTTTTAAAACATCTTTTACTGTGTATTAACTACAAGTTACTATTAGTTGCTAGTTTGTAGTTAGGTTCTCTCTATAAATAGAGATCCTTTTCCCATAATAATCAGATTTGAGATATTCTTTCTTTCATTGAGATTATTCTCCACCATTCTCAATCTATACGACAAAAGTTGTAAGACATCAATTTTATGGTTTAGTTATCCAAGTGTTCTTATCCTTTTTTATTTTTTATTTTTGTGATGTATTGTTTATGCTTATTATAATTACATATTCAACTTTGAATTTTTTTTTGGTCATTGTCAAATTTGGGAAGTTTGCTTGTTTGTTCTTTCTTGTTTCAAATAGTCATTTATTCCATGACGTGAATAAATAAATAATCTTTCAAATAGTATTTTCAATTTTTAATTTGCTCAATGTGCATCAAATCATCAATCAATTTAAAATCCAATCCAAGAACGGTTTAGATTGCTTGAATTCAAGTATCTGCACGTTTTTTTTTCTTTTTAGAAAAAACAGAAATTGGGACCTGAAACGAACCAATAATTCAGACCAGATATTTTATGTTCCATTCGGATCTTGGGATCTTCCCAACACCAACAAATCTTGTTATTCAATTAGTACAGCAATCCTGTACCTTGGAGCTTCCGACACTTGTCAGCAAATTTCACACCAAATATAATAGCTGAAAAGAAAATTTTGTCAATATTTAGAAACGTGGCATATGGATTTGCCAATCATAGTTAAAACTTTGAAGAGGGCAAATGCAAAAGCTACTGGCCCCAGCACAATTTGGACTACACCTCAAAATACCACAAATTAATCTCCTAGAAAGGTCTGGGAAAGAGATCAGTCATTTGAAAACTGCAACAAATATCAATGGTAGTTGCACTAAGCGGCACCACCAAGGGCCAAAAATATTGATTTCAAGCTTCCCCTTGGGTCAAGACTTTCACAAATCCTCATAAATATCACCCAAAAGCTTGCATTCACTCTCAACCAGACCAATCTGAGCTCTCCTGGAGCACCAACCATCTGCCTCTGAGACCTGAAACTCCAAAAAGAATGGTGAATTCCCGTTTAGCGAGGTTCGTTACCGAGGTTGCGCCACCACAGATTATCAGTGTCATGAGACGCCGAACGTCAAAAGTGTTGGACACCATCAGTGAAGAGGAGAGAGACAGTGGGAAGAATGACTGTGCTACTTCCCCAAGAAGCCCGTCAACTGTCTCTGCTTCTACAGCTGCTAGCGCCAGTTCTAGGTACTTCGTTAGAAATATAAATAGATCTTTCTCCACATTCAATGATTGAATGTGTAGTCTTGAGTTGAAATAATAAGCCTTAGAAGGCTTTATCACCATCTTCTGTAGTTGAAATTTCATGTCCTAGTGAACTGAGACCCGGAAATTTGTACTTGCACACTTTCCTGTGGACTTGCTATTACTGTAATGAAATCATTTGTAATGTTCCAATGCACTAGACATTCTGTATTTCAGTCCAATGGTTTCAATTCAGATCTGTCAATGAAACAAGCATCGTTTTTTTCATCAAAAAGATGAGTAATGTCATGACAATTTGATGTCATATAGTGTCTTTATTCTATGCCATGGTGCATTGGAAGCGACTGCTCAATCTCATTGCTTAAAGAACGAGCAAGAGAAGTAATTACCCACAAAATGATATAGACACACACGGTTAAACAAGTAATTTTCACCGTGTTCAACATTTTTTTTTATATATTACAAAATTGACTTTAATCACATAGGAGGTTGCTTGTTAATACTAAATACCAACCTTTTCATTGGAGTTCGTTTCTTTCCGTTTGCCCACTCTAGAAGACATGACTGTACTCTTTATGGATGTTTCTGATTCTACCTTTTCCTTGAGTTTCTCTAGGGCTGTTAAAAGAAATAGCAAAACATTAGAAACAGTTTACATGAACAAAATAAAAGAAGAAAATTTCTCTATTTATGCAGCTTCAGTAAAAACTACACATCCTTCCCAACACAGTATACTGCAGCCTTCTTTACTTTCGGCCAACGTGGAAACAATGATGTCAATTTGATGCACAGATCAAAAGAGACAAAATATGGAGTCCAAAATTTATGGAGTCCAAAATTTTCAGCTACTGAATGGTCAAAAGAGACAAAATATTACCAGAGACATAGGTAGGGTGGAGCAACTCAATTGAACTGGAAGGTAGGGAATGTACGGGACAAGAATCTTTATCAGCCTTTTGTAGTAGTTTCTTGAAACGCCTAACCTGAAACATAAGAATCTAAGAGTAAGCAAGTCGGGATACGATATATAGCTCAATCATTCAACTGTAACTTTTTTTAATCAGAAACAAGAAAGCTCAAACCAATCAGGATTTCACCTTCTAGCTGAATTACAAGCCAGTGAGAGTATTTCCTTATGTTTTTTTAAACAAGAGTAAGAGTATTTCCTTATGGCTTCTGCACTACTACAGAACTGTATCAAGCCCAAGGTAAAATAGTGTTATTATTTCATGCAACTAAAACGACAAAATCTTGCTCATTTGACCGGAAAATCAACCCAGATGGCAGGCCGGAGGCCAAAAGTGAAGAAATAAAGCCAAAATTCATCCCTGATTGGGACATAGGCATATAGAAAAGAAACTAATTGCAAGCTAAGCATGTTAATGACAACATTAATTTTACTGAAAAATACCTCATCTTTACTCAGCAATGTGAAACAACGCCCAGACTGCCCAGCCCTTGCAGTCCGGCCAGCTCGATGAATATATGTCTTTATAAATGCAGGCATATCATAATTAATAACATTTCTCACGCCCTCAACATCCATTCCACGAGTCATGGCATCGGAACTAACGAGTACTTGAATCTCCCCTCCTCGAAAAGCGTTCAAAGTCTTGCTGCAGAATGCACGTCAATTTAATCACTAGGTAATCAAAGCAATTAAAGCTGGTAAGAGATGAAACGAGAACGAAAATGCATTGTGCTCAAATATGAATATGCCAAGTGATTACAACGATAAATGGTATAAACACACACGACCTATCAAGCAATACTGAATCTCCATGGACAAAACAATTATCAACATAAAGCTAGCTGGAGAGTCAATGAAAAACGGGTTTTTCATACCCAACACAATTTGCAGTAACAGAATACTATGAAGCAGAATTGGTCCACATCTGATAGCAGAACGGTCTGCAGCTACATTCCATATGATAAAAAAACAAAATATGATAAAATATATTTTTAGTCTCTAAGATTTAGATTAGGATTCCATGTGGTCTCTAAACATCCCAAGATCTCCCGCAACGTGAACCTAAGACATAGTTGATGGATAGTATTCTAAGATTTTGGAAATGATTCTTTAGGTTTTGAACAAAAATGTGACATGGCAATTTTATGTGTATATGTGGCACATTTTTTTTTTAAATTATTTTTTGTTACTGACGTGGAAAAAATTATGAAAATTAAAATCTAATTTCTCTCCCCTCGCCTTCTCTCTCCTCCATTCCCCTTTCGTCCTCCCCAACTCCCCTTCCCTCTTCTCACTCTCTCCTTCTACCATCCAGCAGACCACGCCGCCGTCGCCCTCCTCTCAGTTGTCACCATATCCCTCCTCATCAATGAAGGCCCCTTTTGTTGGTTTTCCAAAGAGGAGGAGAAAGAAAAAGTAAGTTGAAGGAAGGAGAGCCATTGCGAGCAGGAAAGAAGGGAACGGCAGCAAGATTTTCCAAAAAAGGGACGGCGAACCTCACCGAAGTAGGAAGAGAGGGGAAAGAGATAGAGAGGAGGGTGAGAGGGAAGAAGATTTTAATTTTTAATTTAATTTGTCCATGCCGACCAAGTCAAAAATCATTTTAAATTAAAAAAATATGCCACATATACAACACATAAAATTGTCATGATGGCAATTTAACTCTAGACCACTTGGAACCATTTTCAAACCGTTAAGGTTTTGAAACATAAGGACCTAATAGAGTCCTAACCTAAATCTCAAGGACTAGAGGTGTATTTGACCTAAAAATATACAATTCCATAAATAGGAAACCTATGCCAAAATAACAGCTACAGCTGACCATAATTAGAGAAGTCGCAGGCTTCATATTCCACATGTTTCAATTATTTCTAACAACACTTAAAACGGGAAGGGAGAACACACTCAAGTTAAAAACAATCTTCCTGTGTTACCTTCTCAACGATTGACGTTGAAGCCCTGAATACTCTTTGATATTGAGTTGCAAGTCGTCAAAAAAGTTGAGTAATGTGCATAGCCGATGAGTAGACTCCACTGAGGATGTGAAAACGATACACTTCTCTCCTCCTAAACTTTGTAGCAGGGAAACCAGATATAACGGTTTGAGTTTTGATTCACAAATCTGGAAGAATCAAATTGAAAATAAAAGGTTACTAAAAAAGTATAAACCATTTAAGTAGTGCATATGAAACACTAAGTGATCTGGATTGACATCAGGTGATATGTAAAAACGGATGAATAAAAGGCTTGAAATTCTCTCCCAAAAAAAAAAAAGAAAAGAAACCAATTCAGAAAAATATGTAGGATGAATCTGTATCATGAACTTGCAAACTTCATAATTTAATACGAAGATCCTGAATAACTAATAGAAAAAAGACAATATTCAATTATATTAAGTTCAAGTGACACGAGTTTTACCGCAAGTACATTCTCAAGATCCATATCTATGCACAACTGACCATGGTAGCATTAAAAACACATGAAAAAATATATTGGTTCCTACAGCAGGTGTGGCATTATCCAACGCATATTTGGCATTCCAACAACTTGCATGCATGGTTCTAAGGAGGTGAAAACTTCAATTCTCAATAGAGGGGAGGAAAAAAACAAACTATCATATTTCTAGTTGGCTAATTGTTAGGTAAACTATACTAATAGACCCATAATAGATCATAAATATGCCACAGCAGCAAAAAAACGTACATATTAAAACCGGCATTTCTTCCCCTGCACACCTCAAATTTCATTGTTTCCTACATGATTTCCAATAGATAGAATATAGGTCTAGTAAAGTGACCACCAGTGTTGTTGAGGCGCACCCGGGCGCTCGCCTCAGGCGAGAGGCGAGGCGATTTCGCCCAGGTGTGCCTTGCAAGGTGCCCAGGCGAGCGCCTTCAATCGGGCGCTCGCCTCGGTGCGCCTTTCGCCTGAGGCTAGGCGATCGCCTCGTTGAAGCGAGGCGATCTGCCTTATTTATTTTATTTTATTTTAATTTTTAATTTGTTTTTTTAAAGAACCTTTCTCACTCGCGAAATACCTCAGTCCACAGACCCTAACCATTCTCTTTGCCTCTCGACATTCACCTTCACCACCCTCAATCTTCGGCCATCACCCGCTCCCGTTTCCGACCATTACCGTCGCCGTTCCCATCTCTAACTAAACTTATTGAATTTGGTTGTTTTATGTATCTTGTTGACATTTACTATGACACTATTTTGGTATTTATTTTTTAAACTCATGTTTACTATATAAATTTATGCACTATATGTATAATTTTTATTTATTTATTAAGGTGCGCCTCGCTTCACTCGGGCGTCGCCTTTGTATCGCCTCTCGCCTCAAGGCGATCAAAGGGCTGGTCGCCTTGAGGTGCGCCTTGCGCCTCGAAAACACTGGTGACCACCCGCATAAAACCACATCAATTAGAAGGCATTCTAATTAATCATTATTATAAAATGGAAAAGGATTTTTTGACAATGAACAGTGCAATAATTCATCCCAGATAAATAAGGAGACAGGCCTATTTACCATCATGTATGATTCTAATTTCTCAGGAAGTTTATATCTTCTTTTCCCAGTTGTTAAGAATAGAGGGTGATGCAGATCAAGTTGAGAAAGCTTGCTTGGATCCTGTGTAAGCGTTGCAGATAGAACCATCTTTGCAAGCCTTGGGTAAGGTTTACCCTTAAACCCCCTCTCGACACCACTACATCAATTCAAACAGTATCTGCAGTCAGCAATATAGTTTTCTAGCCCAGGAAATAGATTGATATCAACCAAAAAAACATGTCAGAGAAAAAAATGATTGGAAGGATTAATAATAACAGTGGTAACAATACTTCAATAGTATAACCGTCATTACAAGGAGTATAACTTACAATCTCCTTATGGTTTTTAAGGATCCAGCAGAACAAGGAAGTGAAGTGTAGGAAGGAAAGATGATATTATCATCGTCAGCACGTGTCAACTGAAGCACAGTCGGTAGCCAAGACTGATATGATTCCCTCAATAACCTATCCGTCTCATCGATAACCTATAATAGTATATCCCATCAACAGAATGTATTGACAGTTTGACACCAATAGTTCAAACATTGGTATAGGTTAAAGTAATCATTTTTCTTAATACACGTGATAGTAAACCTTTTTTTAAAATAGAGATAAACAAGATAACAAGCTATCATATTACATTGAATATAAAGATAAACCTAATTTATCAGCTTACAAGTTCTCTCTTTTTTTTTTTTTTGGTAAGAAACAAAGCTTATAAATCATTCTAAAATCAATGATTCATAGGAAACAACTACTAAATAACCAGCTTTTTGTATTTGGTGTTCATTGTGCAGGATGAAATGAGAAATTCACCGAGAATAGAAAATATGATGACTTTCCCATCACTGCCATATTGAATTTTTAAATAAATTTTCTTATTAAACAGAGAAATGTCGATCTTGGCTATTATTCAATCAACCACGTAAATAAGAAAAACTTTATCCAATTAAACGTAAAACACAAGATGTATTAACACTGCAAAGTTACAAAAATCTATACCTCCAGAGAAATATAAAATTTATATACAAATAGACATTAAATTTGGGTCATGCACAGTGACTAAGTCCATCCTGAAGCTTACTTCAAGACAAAACATTCACCACAGTATATCTCATCAGCATTAAACCTTATCCAATATAAAGGTAAATACAAATATTAAGTCACAACAATGCAATGAGTACTTACAAGATAGCGTAGATGCTGAAGTGTAAACCCTTTCGTGAAGTTAATATGGTCCATCAATCTTCCAGGCGTTGCCACCAATATGTCCACAGAACTCTGCAGCGGAACCGAAAAATCTTCTGGATCATAACAGATGCCTGCCTCAAACTTAGGTCTCTTGATAAGACCAGAAATCTCATCTGCTATGGAGGATTGACCAACAGCCAAACCTACAGATAAGCCCACGGCAGGTGCAATCGCTGTAAAAACCTCTTTAACCTGATTAAAGAATGACATGAGCATCTTTCAAGCATTTTGTAATAGGAACGATCACACAGATATTTTAAGATCAAGATCAGATCTAATTTGTCCCATGATTAGAATCGTATAACTAAACACTGTTTAGAAACAAGATTCCTTTAAATTCTTTTTTTTTTTTTTTTGTCATTCATTATAGAGAGGGTTGAATCAAAATAAAGACAGATTTTGCAAATCATAAAGATTTTTTTTCTCTCTAAAATTATAAATGTTCGTATTGGAATGCTGACCAGGTGGGAGTCATCATGCCAAAACTCAGAACCACCCAGGATATCCCAAGTAAATTTCCAGCCAAAATTGAATCCAAAAACCAGCACAAAAATCCTGTTACTTATTCATCTTTTATTATTTCGTTATCAAGGTCTTTGGATAGATTTCAGAATGAACTACAGGATACTAAAATTGTGTACTTCAAATCGGTGATAAAGGGAACAACATTGGCAGACGCCAAGAGGCATATAACTCAACAGATTACTTGTCAATAAGAATTTATGTCTAAAAAAGGTAATAAAAAATCAAGAACCTGCAAGGCCAGATCACGAGTAGGCAACACAACTAAAGCACGTAAGCATTTGACCGCACGACTTGACAGCATTTGCACTATCGGTAGTGCATAAGCTAAAGTTTTCCCACTTCCAGTTGGTGAATTAATACAGAGGTCTCTCTCAAATGAACCGGGCCCAATCACCTCTAGCCAAACTGCAAGTTGCACTGGGAATATTGAAGCGATGCCCGTCTTCTGCAAAGCTACCTTCAATCTAACGTAGAACAAAAAATGAAAACAAGAAAGAACATTAAAATTACAACCCTTGAGGAAAATATCAGTCAGAAAACACAGTAAGCTTTACCAAATGATATCAAAAATTGTGCAACTTGAAACCCACCGCTAATCACCAAAAGTTTATTATCCAATTCTCGATTATTTAACAACACAATGTTGTTTTAAATGTGAACAAAGTTTTACTTCTTGTCGAGACTTCAATGAAATAACCAGCAATATGTTCACTTGTTTGCAATGGAGTTTTATACACGATGAATGTCAAATAGAAAGCCACAGAAACAAATTTGAAGCCATAAAATAAGATAAAAGCTCGAACATATCAGGCATTGAAGATTGGGATGAAATTAGAAGAAAGTGGAATTGCCTGGGGTCGAGCAAAGGGAGGATCTCAAGGGGGCATTCCTCGAATAGGGAGACGTCGACTGGGCTTCGCATCCATGGTAGAACTGGGATGCTCTTTCGCTTCTGCTTCTCCCCCATTGTGTTACAGAAACAGCTTCAAAATCAAAAAACTCAACAGCACTAGGGTTTTAG